TTATAAATATACATATATATATTTATATTATTGTCTGGTCCATTTCAACTTGCGTTGACTAAACCTGGCAGTTGGGTTGAATCAAGGTTGGATGACATTCCTATTAGAAAACTCAAAAGAGCTCAGTGTGGTTATTTTACAATAACTGAGGCCAAACAAATTCACACGATTGAACCAGTTTCCGAGATGTGGTGGACAACATGTCAGCCTCGAAAAAAATATATAATTCTAGCTTTTGTTGTTACCTCAGACAGTGCTCATAAAAATGGATGTTTCTCTAGTCAAATGCTACGATTCCAAGGTCTCATCAGCAGTAGATGCAGTTGAGGCAGAAAAGAGAGGGACTCATTATGTATTCCTATTTTTACCCTGTCTCATTCCAAATCCACTGCCATGTATGTTGAGGGGATTTCGAAGCGGAGATAAAATTAGAATTAATGTATTTTCCGTAAATATATTTTTCTATTCGACCCTCTTTTATTTCTTGATAGCTGTCATAACTGTCTTCCACAGCAGACATTTTGTCTTGTACATTGTAGCGGATCTTAGTTGTCATGGTTACAATAACACATTTGCAGGGTGCACCAGCCGCAGTGTGGTGGACCAGGTAAGCTTCTGAAACAATCAAATGTCACCATGTTCCAATAAACATGGAAATGAAAATGCTTAAAAGAAATAATGGTGACTATCAGTTTCATAAAAAAAGTCTCCTGTGTGTTTCGAGTGAACCAAGTGGAGGCTTTGCAAGTTTAAAAAATTCTACTTTGTGCAAATGAGAGCAAGATTTACAGTCTTGCACAAGAGGCACTGACAGATAACAAATTGCACAGCATTGCCTCTGTCCCTCTTGCTTGTGGCTGTGGACATTTCAATGCTTGAAAGCTAGTAATCCAATATTGTGCCAAAATGGATTTAATTTTAGTTTTCATCTATAATCCTGGAGGTCAATGGAAGAGAGGGATCTCCAGAACAGACCTGGAGTGTCATTTTTGGGGTGCAGACGGTCTAAGCATAACATTAATTGCTACTCAATTCTACTCCGGTATCCTATGACAGTGAACCAGCATGTGCAGCATCATGACCCAACAAAATTGCTTGATAATCAAAAGAAATGAAAATCGAACGAGATGAGATTTTGTCCTTTTAAGAACCTTCCACATGTTCAGATGGCAATTACAGCTGGTAGAAAGTGTACTTTACAAAACTCTTTGCAGAAACCTGGATATCTGGCAGATTTTTTGAAGGCCACCAAATCAGCTGTAGAATTGGTATCTGATACTGCTGCAAGTATCAGTGACTGTTACATTTAGAAAGTTAATGACAAATAGTGACAATCAGTGTTGAAAAGCAAACTTGGACATAACCCAGTTTACCAACTTTCTCTGTTGGATTTAGTCAATTCTTTGCAGGTGTTGGCTGTGCAGTATCAGATACAGTGTGTAATGTTCTCCTGACAAATTTTGTTTACATGTCACACAACACTGCTGGTGCTTGACAGCCAGCTCGACTGTTCTGGAAGATATTGATCATTCCTACATTTCTCTATAAAGCTCAGAAAAGTATCTTGTTGAGTCTTTCCTGCATGTCATGCTTTATAGGGAATTTGGAAAAACTTTCAGCATCGGAAAAACAGTGACCGTCGTTATCTTGTCAGTGGATGTGGATGTTTGAAAATATATCTTCGCTGCCTTCATTATGGTCCTCAAAGCAGGAGTAATAGAACAATCATAGTGAACCTGCGAGGCACCATTCACAGCTGAAGTGGCTTGAAAGAAAATGTGGCATTGAATAATAATATGCATATCTGCTTAATATATTCTATATTCAGTTTTCATGGTCCACAATAAAATCCCTGAGAGGTTCAAATGATTCTAGTAAAAGAAAATACAGCACAAGCACAAAAGCATCTTAATACATCAAGTGTATAATTTATGAGTTGTGTGTGTGTGTGTGTGTGTGTGTGTGTGTGTGTGTGGGGTGGGGGGTATAAACGTCATTGTTCATCTGTTGATCATCTTATCGTCTTAATCTTTGATGGCTTTTCTTTTACTTGTGAAGGAAATGAAAACAAGGGACATATAATCAGAAGGCCCAAGACTGACTGACTGGCTGGAAAGCGAGATTATTCACACACTGACGCATCCACACTTGGTGTAACGGCATCTGCGGAGTGAAAGATATACGTGTGTCACTTATAGTGTAATTTATGCAGCGCTATAATTGAAAATTGTTATCAAAATCAATTTGGCGGCCTTTAATAGGATGAGAGCAAAGACGCTGCAAGAGTCAGTTCCCTGGATGACACATTTGTTAGAAAGAGAGAGACAGTGTGCATTTATCAGGGTGCGTTTGTCAGTCCGTAACTGCACAGCACATTCCTGCACATTGTGTTTTTATTTGTCCAGATAGGTTTTTAAACTGGGTTTGTGTTTGATTGCTAAACTAAGGTAGCTTGTAGTAAAGAAAAAAACTTGTTGTGACACGTTTGGACTGACAAACCGTCAATAGGTTCTCCCTGTGGAGCTGTAATTAAAAATATTGATGCATATACACTATGACGTGGTCCACACTGAGCGTATGTTTGTCTCCACTCACAGTAGGAGCAGCCGTAGACTTCTATGCGCAGGCCGATCCGTCCCTCCTCACTCCAGTCCAGCGGGACGAGTCTGAGGAAGCGAGCCACAATTCCCTGCTGCAGCTCATGGCGAACGGCGCTCTCCGAATTGGAGTTCCCAGAGAAGGCCTGCAAACACAAACAGTCACGTACGTACACACACACACCCACACAGACACACACAATGAAATTAAATACATCAAAGCCACAAGCCTGCAGTCAAACAAACAGCTTTGGGACTTAGTATTTTGTTACACTCACCATATTCTGCCCTAAAGGTTCACACTCCCAAAACATAGAAAATAATTACAGGCCTACATATCTAGTATGGCTTCCATGAGACAGCCTGGCTGCAGGGGGTTTGAAGAGGAAATTGTATCGAAGTTGAATTTCAGGTATGAATCTCTCTGGTAACATCTCTTCATATTTAGGCTGATTTGTTGGTCCCTGAGAATTCTTGGCTTGTAACTGATGAGGTTTAGATTTCCTCTTCATATTAAAGCTGTCTTTTGCACATCTGACACTGAAATTCCGGCACATACAAATTGACTGACAATCAAAACTTACATGTACAAAGCCGGTGAGATAATTGTCCAGTGGCTGTCGAGCTGCATACTTAACAACAGAAGATCACACCTATAGCTGTTGTCTTATATCACAATAGACTTTTCCTTACATGTACCTTTTAGAAAGCATGGCAGCTATGACAGCAATGAGCCAACTACAAAAAGTGTCACAAATCCAAGGAATACAATTTGTATTTAATTGTTCTTAAACAATTAAGACGACTTTAAAAGAATTTGATAAAAATGCAACATTTGATTGCAAGGCTTGCATTCTTATTGTGATTTAAAGGAGACTTGTGATTACACATGATGATGCTTTATTTTTGAGGATTTATTTGTAAGTATAAGTTCAACAAAGTTAAGAAGCCTAAAGTCTCTTTGCTCTTCTCCCCCACTCTGAAGCTATGCCATTAGCAGGTCTTGATGGAGATGGGTAGCAGACAAAAATCTCTGGCTAACATCATTTTGACACCTCCCTTCTCCTCTCCAACCCTCGCTTATATCTCTTATTCACTTGACCTTGCACACAATGGGGTGCAGCTCCACCTGCCCACTAATCCCCCTGCATAATTTACACTTCTGTGATTTCCTCTTCCTCTCTGAAACAAATATACCAACCATAACCCCTCACCCCATGCTTTCCTTCTACACATGCACACAGACGAGTTGGCACGGACTGCTATGGAGGAACACCATGCATAGCCTAGCAGGTAACTAGACAAGAGCAAGACACTAGACAGCCATGTGTTATCCCAGATAAGACATGAAGTGGGCAGGGCAGTGAATGAGTGAGGGAGGAAAAAGCTCCAGCTCAAGACAGTGCGCTTTAAGCCGACTCCTCTGTGACCCAAATGTGCACCCCTGAAGATATGCTATCAGCAAAGCAGGAGATGGTCAGGAGTTCACACTCAGCTCAGAGCCACTGAATTTCCACTGTAGCGACAGAGTGGACACAAGGGGAACGGCTCCTCTATCTCATCTCCCCTCTCCCTTCACTTTCACTTTTATTCTTTATTTATCCAGGAAAGGTTAACTGAGCGCACAAACACATACACACTTCAAATTTACCCAGCTCCACATGAGTCATCAGGGAGCCCTCATGTTTTCTTTAACTTCTGCTTTAGGTATCCAGGTCCTGAAGATCTGGGTTAAAGGTTTAGTGTGTAGGATTCAGTGAAATAGCCTTCAGTTGTCATAAAAACTTAACTGATGTAAATATAAAGGGCCCATCCTACGGTAAAGACAACAACAATTCGTGATGAAACACTAGTGAAAACATCACTAGGATTATCTTATATCCAATTTCTGCCAATAGATCCCTTGCATCTAAATCTTACACAATGAACCTTTAAGTGACTTTCTTAAGGACAGATGTGTTTTATTTGTGGACATTCACACAAAACAGCTAAATAAACTGTTTACAGAGACGCATGAAACATCACCTATTATTACAAATATTGAGCTAAATGATCCGGGTATGGGTGCAGTCACCTTGTGCTATCGACGTGATTTGAAGCCAGAGTCTGCACAGTAGTTTTGCAGTTTGCAGTTTTAGCCACAGATCAAAAGAAGACTGAAGCACATAAAGCATATGCACACATATAATATGGATATGTACACACAGACAGAACCACCTGCAAGCCACTACGCCATTTAAACCTCTCACCTATAAGCGCATTACTGTACACAGCTGCAAACAAAATCCTATAAAACTCAGAAGACTGTATATCTGCTGAGTATTCGGCTCACTGAATGCACAAGACTTCTTTTTGTCCACCTGACACTTTCGTCTCCTTGCCCTTGTCAAGGTAAAAGCGAGAGAGTGAAAGGAGGAGGGAGAGAGTGAACAAAACCATTTTTAGTCTCCACGCCAAAGCTTCATCGCCCCCCCCCCTTCCCTTTTTCCAGCTTCCTTCTTTTATTTCTTTATTGTGTTCATCCCTCTATTCAGCACTTATCTGTGCTTGGCTGATTGAACAGCTCAATTCAAAAGGCATTACTATGCAGAATGGTGGGGCAGGAGGCAGGATAGGGAAGAGAGGAGGAGGAGGAGGAGCGGGATGAAGAGGAGGAAAAAAACTTGTGGATGCTCAACATCTCGCAAGGGTCTGCCTAGTCAACCATTTAATTCCCTCTCCTCCAAAGTCCAATCATTTCCGGCAAACCGATGAGTGAATTTGTGTGTGAATGTGTCCCTGCATATACTGTGTATGTGTAACGGTTAATGTCAGATTAAGTGTGTATCTGTAAGTTTTGGGCAACTTGAGAGCTTAGACACTTTGACGTTTTCTTTATCAAGAACTGAGTTAATTGACGGCAAAAAAAGGCCATAAAGTATCTGAGGTAACTTTTCACTTTTTACTGAGCGTATAAACACTGACCTTGTCGGGACCAATAGTCTTCATAAGGGACCAAAGCCCAGTCCTAATGAGACAATATTTAATGCTGGTGAGGAGTAAGCTTTGATTTGACATTAGGGTTAAGTATGAACTGGTTATGGTTAAGGTCAGGTTTTACGGTTTGGTTGAGGATATCCACACTGAATGTAAATCAGCACAATGAGCCTGAGGATAGAACATTATCCTACATTTTTTCCATCATTTGTTCATACGGACTTTGCACAAACATATCACGTCTACAAATGTTTCCATCTTCGGAAAAAATGTGTAAATGACGTGCATAAACACAATGAATGCCACCTTAGTGTATTTGAGGGATTGCAAATTAGCATAATTAAGGCCCCAATAATACTATATAAGGCTATGCTTCCTGCCCAATGTCAAATGAGGAAATTTATAATGCCACTCCACTAGGTGCATGGGAACACATTCATATAAAAGACAAGATATAACACATATCATAAACATTGCACACCATACATGCAGAGATAAAAAGAAACAAGTAGTATAAAGTTCCTAGATTGCACATGATAATTGCACTGAACTTTACAAGCTCTGAGATTGAAGGTTTGCTTTCAGAGATCCAGAAAGTATGAGTCGAGACTTTTTATCAGTATCTGCGGTGGGATTAAGAGATCGATTAAAGAAGCACTAATGCTCTGTCACCTGTGGACTGCACCGTCACCGCAATAAAAAATGGCTCCATTTGGAAATAGCTTAAAAATCTTGTTGAGAGCCACGGTGAGGATTGATGACTGCAACAGGAGGAGGTTAAGGGGAAATCTCTGTCACTGATATAGATGAAGAAAATATGTAACATGTGATGTTGAACTGGCATATTTACGGCCGGTGCTGGATCAGTTCACCTTCAGTCGTTAATATTGTATAATAAACAGCAGGCTGAAATAACCTGACATGTAGAGCAGCTCGAGCCACATCCACCTGTGAACTCTGACATTTACATATGAAGCTAGTGTGAGCACTCCTGTCTCGTCTGTTGGTTGACGAGGTGCGGCAGAGAGTTTAAGGAAAACATCAATTGTGTGTGTGTGTGCACGCGCACATGCTTTTAAGGATTTGTGTGTTTCCCTCCACAAGCCTCAAATATTTAAATTGGATGTGTATCAAACCACTATTAAAATGTATTGCTGTACTCAATCAAAACAAAAATATGGTGCATTTGGGAATTCTTTCGTGAACTCAAATGGAAAAAATATTTACTCTCCGTTTTCGTACCCCTGTGAGGAGGATGTGCATGAAGAAAGAAAAGTGAAGACTGAACTTTCTGTGATGTGAAACTTAATATGAGCAGAAGTTTGTTAACCTTGTTTCAAAACATTGCAGAGCTGTCCCATGGTTTTAGCGATCGCTGAGATCACTAAAAGAAAACGCAGAGAGAGAGAAAGAGAGAGAGAGAGTCTGACTTTGGGAAACAAAAATAATGAGGGAAACGGAGAGCCAGCCAGTGTCCTTGTTGGGCATTTGGAACGTCGGTGCTCCTGTCACTCATGACGGAACAGGCTAATCACTTTACTACAGCTGGTCAACAAATACCCCGGTGGTCTGCTCTGTGTCACAGACACATGCACACATCGCTCGTCATTTGAATGATGAAATACATGTTTACACACACACACACACACACACACACACACACACACACAC